ATTATTCCCAGAAGAAAAGCTCCTGGGTTTTTAGGAAAGGTTCCTTTAAACATTTTTCTTAAGTTCATTATAAACCATCTCCCATAATTATTTTATTATTCTACAAGACCACCATGAGTGATAAAATGTGCCAAACATTTGCCTTTTAAATGTTGAAACCCGTCCTGGTACCTTAAGGTGATGATGGTGATGATGATGATGATCTGGTCACCTGGAGCTGCCGTGTGTAGACTCCTCTGCTACAACCAGAGACTTTTATGGGAGTAAGAAACATGAACGCATCCTGCTGCATGAGAATATATGAATTGCTGTGAGTCTACGGGTGCCAGACACCCCTAATCCCTGGTGTTAAAAGCTAATCAAGTCCGGCTAACTTCCTGTGTTCAGGTAATCGCTTGGGTGATGGGCCATTAAGAAAGCAAAGGAGAGGGGGCTCTCTGTGAGATGGCAAATGGGTGGTGCTCCTCCCCCAGCTCATAGTTAGAAGGACAAAAAACACAGTATAGAGTGGAGAGTCTATGTTATGTGAGGTAGAAAGTCTCTCTCTCTCTTTGGCGAACACTCGTGGCCGAGTAAGATTGTCTTCCATAAACACGGTTTTAACAATGAGTCCGTAAGTGACTGTGGAGGCCAATTCTGGAACCACACGTCCTTCCACAGTGGGGACGTTGGTTGATCACAGTGAGGGTTTGCCAAGCGTGCCTTCCTCTTAGCACCTAAAGCAGCAAGCTGGATAGCCAGAGAGGCAGAGCACGATATTTGATTTCTGTTTGAATCCAAGGCTGTGGCTATAGGAGAAAGAAGACCCTCTTGGTGTGTTAATGCTGTGAACCCCTTCATCATAGGCTCAGGCTGTCTATGTGTGTAAATAAAGTAAATATCATAAAGACATCACAGTCGCCGTCATGCCTCATTCCCAAAAGGACAAATGAACACTGGGTAATGAACACCTGGAATCTCACACCACTCAGAGAGTGGGGTAGCGTATTTGGGTGGCGCATTTTAACTATTTGCTAAAGCACCAGAGAGAGTGTGAGAGCAAAGTGTTTGCAGTGTGGTGGTGAGAAAGAGAGACTGCTGGCACAGTACAGAATAAGGCATCTAAATGAGGAATCTGTGAGCTGAAAGGAAACCTATATTCTCATGTTTTGAAGAAACAGTTTATTCCACACAGTAGGATGAGAAAACCCCTACAAGTATTGGTCACTTTTACATAAAAGGAGGGTGGGCAGGAAGGAGAGAGAGAGATTGCAAAGAGTGTGGTGACTATAGAGGTGGGATAGAAAATTGATACACTTCTCACTTGTTGTTGTTAGTCGTTTAGTCATGTCCGACTCTTCGTGACCCCCTGGACCAGAGCACGCCAGGCACTCCTGTCTTCCACTGCCTCCCGCAGTTTGGTCAAACTCATGCTGGTAGTTTCAAGAACACTGTCCAACCATCTCGTCCTCTGTCATCCCCTTTTCCTTGTGCCCTCCATCTTTCCCAATGTCAGGGTCTTTTCTAGGGAGTCTTCTCTTCTCATGAGGTGGCCAAAGTACTGGAGCCTCAGCTTCAGGATCTGTCCTTCCAGTGAGCACTCAGGGCTGATTTCCTTAAGAATGGATATGTTTGATCTTCTTGCAGTCCATGGGATCCTCAAGAGTCTCCTCCAGCACCATAATTCAAAAGCATCAATTCTTCGGCAATCAGCCTTCTTTATGGTCCAGCTCTCGCTTCCATACATCACTACTGGGAAAACCATAGCTTTTACTATACGGACCTTTGTTGACAAGGTGATGTCTCTGCTTTTTAAGATGCTGTCTAGGTTTGTCATTGCTTTTCTCCAAAGAAGCAGGAGTCTTTTAATTTCGTGGCTGCTGTCACTTCTCACTTAAGGTTTACTTAAACTGACTTGCACTTAACGAAACCAAGCCTTATGAGGAACAGTTGAGAGAGTTGGGTATGTTTGTTTTATACCCTGCCTGGATAAAAGGAGGCTGAGTGGAGAGACGATAGCCCTCTCCAAATATCTAAAGGGCTGCCACGTGGAAGATGGAGTAAGCTTATGTTTTCTCCTGCTCTGGAGGGTAGAGTCCAAACCAATGGCTTCAAGTTGCAAGAAAGGAGATTCCAACTAAACATCTGGAATAACTTTCTGACAATAAGAGCTGTTTGACAGTGAAATGGACTCCCTCAGGAGGTGGTGGACTCTCCTTCCTTTGAGGGTTGGATGGTCATTTCATGGATGCTTTAGTTGAGATTCTTGCATTGCTGGGGGTGGGACTAGATGACCCCTGGGGTCCCTCTACAGTTCTATGATTCTATGGGTAGTATCTCCCTCTGCACCTTTAGCATAACTCTTGGTGACTGAAAACTTCAGTCTATGCTGTATTTTCTTTATAGGTCTGAAAAATTTCAATTGTAATATTCAGCTGTTGAATGTGGACTTTTTTTATTAGATATTTCAACTGAACTCCAAATGTGAAATTCAGCCTCAAAGTCAGTCTGTCATCATTGTATTAGTATTTGGCAGGCTTCTAAAATGAAATCTAATAAACAGCCAGCTATTAAATACTCAACTCCGTTGCATGTGAGCTTTGAAATGCAAATCAACCTCAAATAAAATCAGCTGTTAATGCTGGGGGGGGGAGAGAACCCACTGTGGAGCAGGGGCTGCATATACCGCTTCTTTAATGGGGAATATTCCTTCCTCCTGTTCTGCCTTCCATGTGAATGAGAAACTGGATTAAAGGGAGTTTAAGGTCTTCGGCATGCTGAGTAATTGTTGGTATGAAAACCGCTTGGTATCTTCTCCTTTTTTTTAATCCCAGCAAGGGAAAGGAATGTGCCGAAGAGACTGAGCTGATCTCTGCCGACTGCTAAGCAGCAGAAGCTCCTGATCAAAATCTCTGGAGAAGCGAAGGGAGGAGGGAGAAGGAAAGAGATCAAGTCCCGAAGCGCAGCAAAAGCGGATTCTACGTGGCCACCCTGTCAGGAGCGCAAAGCCTTCCATCACCTCCCCATGTTGATTCCACAGTTCCTTTTTAATTGACAGGCGATGCTTGGAAAGCGCCCCTTCTAGTCAATTCTTGGTCCTCGCCTCCCTCTGCTTTCAAGCACACACATCTCTCCCCCTGGAGCCCGATGCTCAGGGGGGCAGCAGAGCCCAGACAGAAGCCTGTTTATAAGCTCCTCCATGGGTGTTTGCTTTCTCTTGCTTGTCAAAGCCCAGCTCGCTCCTGCTCCATCCATTTCTTGCCAAACACCAGCCAGCCGGAGAGCACGCAACAGCTATTAGCCATAGGGAAAGAGTAAAATCATCATCATCATCATCATCATTTAAGGAAGAATGAGGGATGGTAAATAAAACATCATTTGGTCACCAGCAACTCCAGGGAGATGTGCACCCCGATATTATGCATGCTTACTCCGAAGAAAGACCCCCACAGAGTTCAGGGGGGCTAGTGCCCCCCACCCCAAGAGGAAAGTGAGCCAAGAGATGCGCCGCAAAGGAAGAGAGCCATTGATAGCACAACCTGAGCACCAGGGGCTAATAATAAAATAATTTTAATAATAAATAATAAAAGTTATTATTATTATTATTATTATTATTATTATTAAACTTCACCAGCACTTTCGGCCTCCGTCCCCGATTTCCCCGACGCCTCATGCCGCTCGCCAATTTCCGCTTCTTCCCAGTTGCTTAAATTACATCCCATCTCGCCCTTTTCTAAAACATCCTCCCCCGGCATGTTAGTTCGGTGCTAAAAATGACAGCGGCGCGTATCAAAATAACTCGCGACAATGCCACGAGCTCCTTCGAAGGGGCGGGAATCTTTCCTCTTCTCTCCCTCCCCCCGCCCGCCCCGCTTTACAGGTGTAGCTCGGAGGAGGCAGCGGAGATTCATCACCACGTTACTGATGAATGAAAAGGCCCCCTTCCCCACGCGCCCACCCACTTTTTTTTTATTTTCCAAAGCTAACTCCGCTCCCCGGGGCTGCGTTTCCTTGCAACCCAGCGGAAAGCCTCTCTCGCTGAGGTAACTCGGGCGCCTCCTTTCGGGCGCGAAGGACTTTGCCAGGTGCAGGAGACTTCGAAGTTCTCACCTCAGTTGGGGGTGGAAGAAGGGAGCCGGGGGGGGGGGGGCACGGACCTACCACTTTTTGGGGAGGGGAGAGGGGGGAGAAGACGCGAAAAACGACGGCACTCGTGGTGCCCTCGAGGGAAAGATCTTCGGGCTGACCTTTCTCCAACTTTCCAGTGCGCCCCCGGCGCGCGCGCCGCTTCTGCCCACCTGCCCACCGACGCGCTCCTCCCGGTTTGGTGCGAATGGACGGCGCTACTGAGCCCTTGTGGGGGGTGGGGGGGAGAGGGAGGTGGCACGAGGTCTGCATCAGCAAAGAGGAGAAACCGAGAGAAACCTCTTCCCCCCCCCCACGCCATCCCAGCGCACCCCACTTGCGCCGGCCCAGCCCCTCCCCTGCCGTCGAGCGCGTGGCTGCCCCTCTCCGAGCGGGAACTTGCTGCCATCAATAATTCATTGGCTCCCAGCAGCGGCGGAGCGCGGGAGACGGCGGCGGCGGCAGCAGCAACAGCAGCCGCCGCTTGGATAAGAGAGAGGGAGGCAGCGGGGCGGGGAGGGAGAAGCGTGCGCGCGAGCCGTGCTTGCCGGCTGCCTGCAGAGAGGCGAAGGCGGCGGCAAGCAGCAGCAGTAGCGGCGGCCGCTGTGGCGGTAGCAGCGAGAGCCCGAGCAACGGCGTTGGCGTCGGCGTCGGAGCATTTGGACAGCTCCCTTCTTGGCGCCGCCAGCAGCAGCAGCAGCAGCAGCAGCAGCATTATGTCCCCGCAGCGCGCGGCGGCCGCCTCCCCGGCAAAGGCCGCCGGCGCCGAGGAGGACACGGGAGGATGAGGACAGGAGGGAGGCGAAGGAGGAGGAGGCGCAGGCGGTGGGAGGCGGACGAGGCGAGGCAGCGCGGAGGAGGAGGAGGAGGCGCAGGCGGCGGAGGAGACGCGGAGGATGAAGTGGAGTGTCCGGGGAGCCTGCGCCGCGCTCTCCAGCTGCCTCCTGCTCGCCTGCGCGCTGAGCGCCGCCGCCGTGGGCCTCAAGTGCTTCTCGCTGGGCTCCGAACTCAAGGGGGAGCCCTTCCGCCTCGGCAGCGCCGCCGGAGCCTTCTACTCGGGGCTGCTGCTGGCCACCGGCCTCTCGCTGCTGGGCTCCGCGCTCTTCTGCTGCCGCCAGCCCGACGACCACGCCGGACACAGCGGCGGCGCCGCCGAGGGCGCGGGCGCAGCGCCCCCTCGAGGCCACGCGGGCAGCGAGGTGGTGGCCGTGCCGGTGAGCGGGGATTCCCAAGCGCCGCCTCAGGCGCCGCCCAAGGCGCCCGCCAACGGGCGCCAAAACTTCCTGCTGCTGGGGGCGCTGGTCTTCATGCTGGGCGTGCTGAGCGCCTTCGCCGGCGCCGTCATCGACGGCGACACGGTGTCGCTGGTGGAGAAGAAGTACTCGCACTACTGCCTCCTGCAGGCCGGAGTTGGAGGAGCAGCGCCCGCCCGGGCCAGGCCTGCGGGCAGCAGCCCCGAGGGCTCGGCGGCGGCGCTGCGCTGCCAGAAGCTGCGGGACTACCAGCGGGGCTTGGTCATCTCCACCATCTTCAACGCCCTCGAGTGCCTGCTGGGGCTGCTCAACCTGCTGCTGGTCAAGAACTACAAGGCGGCCCAGCAACGGGGGCTGCGGCGACGGCGGCGCCGACGGCACGACCACCACGTGGCGGGCGGGCGGCGGAGAAGGCGACGGGGTCCCGGGGGCGGCGGCGGCGGCGGCGGCGGTGGTGGCACCGGCGTTGGACGGCGTCCGCAGCGCCCCAGCCAAGGCTCCATCTTCTCCAGCGAAGACCCCGATGTGTCCCCCGGGGGCGATTGCGCCTTCCAGGCCGTGTCGTACATCAACGTCGGGGTCTTCCACGTGTTCGACGAGGCGGGCGTGGAGGTGCACTGCGGAGGCCACCCTTCCGTCGAGCTGCCGGGCTACTCGCCCATGGACCCCGACCTCCAGGTGTCCTACCCGTATTGCTACCCGTTGCCCAACGAGCAGCCCCCGGCCTACGAGGAAATCTATCCCAGGGAGCCCTGTGCCAACCGCATCTAGGCACCACCGGACAGCGCCCTTTGGACAATCGGCCTGCTGGACCGAAAGGGGCAGCAGGAGGCGAATTGGGGCAGAGCACGAACACTTTATTGGCAGGACCAGTAGTAGCACAAGGTGAGGCCAAAGCCACAGGTGGTAGTAGTGCGGACTCCTCCGAGAACCCTCCGTCTAAAGAGGCAGGTGCCCGTAAGATACCTAGCATGAGACAAGGCTGGTGCACGCTCTTGGGGCGGATCTGGTGGCAAGTTGAAACATTGGTCCAGACCACTTTGGCTTCGTTTTTCTGAAGACCAGGCACACTTTCTCTTCATCGCCTCTTTGATGGAGAAGTCTTGAACAGAGTTTCAGAAAGTTGCCAGTGTTTTGCAACCTGTTGGAGGTTTCTCCAATATGTCCTTGTCGAGATTTCTCTTTTCCTGCTCCTTTTGGTTCTATCACTAAAATCTATAGCTACATACTAGAGGTTTTAGCAAAGTGCATTTTTCTCTTGGGTTTCTTAAAGATGGCTGGGCCTACTTGGGGATGATGCTTTTAGTACCTTTTAATTTTACCCCCTTTTTCCCTAGTCTGGTGGAATCTTTTCATCCATCTCTTCGATATTGATTGAATGGCGAACATTTCAGGGTTGGTTTACACGGTCATATTTGGCTCAGATTTTTTTGGCTTTGTTTTAATGAATCAGCCTGGCTTACCCACACACCTGCCCCCCCCCCCTCAAATGAATCTTCATGATAGCCTCAGCTTTAAGATTTACAAAATTGTGTCGTTAGAAAGCCAGCCAGAACAAGAAAAACACACACAAAATGTAAGGATGAATCTTTCCCTCTCAAGCAAATATATTTCTAACCATGAAGAGAGACCGAGAGCAGTTTCGATCCAAGCCTCTTATGTTTACAGTATTCCTGGGAGATTTTATGTTTTAAGTTTAAAATTCAGTGAGAGTTAAAACCATTGTTGGTCTTGTAAGATGCACATGATAAACCTGCACTTTCAAAAAGGGGGGGGGAGAGAATCAACAGCAACATTTTTGTACACTAATGTGCCTGCTTTTTGTTGATAATTTCTTACTGTAAAAGCTTTCAAAAAGTCTATAGTGAAAATGTTTGGTAAAGTCATTGCAACGTAGAATTAACAAATCAGTTCCTTTACTACAATAGAAATGCTATATTGAATAGAAGGAAAGTCCAAATCGTCTCATACATTCCTTTTTGTAAACAGGTTCTGTGTTTTTAATGCAAAGCAGGGCTTATATTTATTTTTTATTTTGTTTTAGAACAGTCTAATCCTATTTTGTACACATGCAGCCAGTTATTCTTGTAAGTAGTTTCATTTTAGTGTTACCGATTAATTAATCTGAGAAGCTTGAATAATAAGTTTTTATTTAAATATAAATACATAATATATACATATATCTATATATGCTTTAAGCAGCCTTAACTGATGGTCACAATTTTCAGCGGAGTTACCCAAACTCCTTTGAAGTATGGTTTATAATTAAAAAAAAACATATTTGACAGAATTCAACAGGTGAGCATTGAAAATAATAATACTGCATTAAAAAGGTTCCGATTATAGTGACTAAACTCTTGTCTAGATATTTTAATAGTTTCACCAAAAATGCTCTTTTGGAGGCAAAGCCACGAGTGACACAGGAGACCCGTGATCGACTCTCATGACATTCATTTTGCTTTTAAACAGGTGCAAGGGGCTCCAGCCTTGTTTCGAATAGCAATGCTGGAAGAGGAAAGCATTTAATGTTTTCATCTTTATCATTTCTCTGATCTAAATGCCCAACCCCTGGAGATGGCTTACGTAGCCCTTCTAGAATACTGGAATTTCCCTCTGTGAGGCTAAAAGCATATTCCAGGGCAATTTAAATTGGGAAACTGGCGAGAGGGGAAACACACACACACACACACACACACACACACACCACCAGCATCGCTGCACTTATCAAATTCAGAGCCAATTGCACCTGTTTTAAAATGAAAGAAAGGTGCATTGTGAGATCTGGTCACAAATCTCAGGCATCGTGGGTGGTTTAGCCCTCAGTCTGCTAGAGAATGTCAATGAATCAGGTAGCACAGGGAAGGCAATTAATTTATTTTATTTTTTGGAACACTGGCATAAAAAGGAAGGCTTAATTTAGAGCTGTTCAAAGGGATGAAAGAGAGAGACTTCAGCTCATATCGTTCACCTATTATTCTTGCTACTATGTATTAAGACAGAATTCCATTTAAAATTCCACCCCTTCGTTAAGCTCCTTGTAGCAGGGACCTGCCTGCTGCTTAATATTACTTTGTAAAGTGCCGTGTACACTGATGGCACTATATAAATATTAATAATAATTCATTTTAGGAGACTGCTGTGGAATGTGAGCGTTATCAACAGAGACAGTGTTAAAGGAAAACAGTTTTTGTCCTATTTTTGCGATGTACAGAAGATTATTTTTTGATTAAGGATCTGAACAAAGTCAAAATCTGCAGCCTTAGATTAAAAGTCCAACAGTGGTAAAAGCCTCTCTGCACTACTTTGTTATCTGAAGTTGTTTCGACTTGCACACTTTGTATAATCTAAAATGCAAAAAAATAATAATGCCTTAGAACATTTAAAACTATATACCTTTAAAAACTAAGCAAAACCTGCACCCTAGGTAACTGGATCAAAGCAACTAATCCGGTTCACAAGGTAGCTTCACATTTTTTCAAAGGTTAGAGCCACTGTTATTATTATAAATTATGTAAAAGATTCTCCTTTGCTGAGAGCAAACACAATGCTTATCTAGTGCATAAGACCTAGTTTGAAGTACTGCACTTCCTTCTTTCGTCATTTCTTTACTCTCTAGACTAGTATAGATTCTATCTCGGTGGATCCTTTTTGGGCCCAGTCCACAAGAAACATCTCCAACACATTTTATTTTATTTTAATGAATAGGCGTTGTAGAACAGCATGGCTGTACTCCTCCCATCTTCTTCACAGGGATATTTGGAAGACAAGTTCCTAGCAAATCGTGTCCCCTTAACTACAGTGCAGTCAGGCCGCATTTTGGATGTATATACGGCCAGGAATTTTGTAAGATAAACTGGTGCCTAAATTAAGTTTTGAAATCCCTATTGAAGTATCTAAATAAAAACAACCAAATTTCTTTTTTAAAAGCTCGCATTGCATACTTCTTCCTACATTAAAGGGTGTGGTCAATGCGCTATTCTTATTGGCATCTTTCAGCGGAACGAGAACAGGTCCAGACAAATAGCTAATCATGTGGTTAAAACTGTTCCTGGGCTAGGCAGACCATAAGTACAGGGCTTTTTTTTCCCAGCCAGAACTGACCAGAACTCAGTTCTGGCCCCTCTTAAGTGGGCGCCATTGCCATTATAAGAGAACAAGGGAGGTGTTCAGGGTGACTTCCAGCACCTCTTTTCTACAAAAATAGCACTGCTCATGTGTGTGTGTGTTTGTGTGTGTGTTAAAAGCCCATTAGGATGAAAATGGCTCCTAGTCTAGCCATTTCTGCAGGCATGCTAACATTCTATTACTTTCCAATTTTTTATTTTATTATGGAGTGTTCAAATGTGTGATCCCATAACTGAAACCTGTAGTAGTGCAGTCCAGAAACAGTTTGGTTTGTGATGAGCAGTTTAGACCATGAGAATGCTATAAATAATGACAGATTTCCTACATGGACAGCATTTATATTGGGGGCGAGCATGCAGACTGTTTGGTCCCAATCTACTTGCGCTTTACATGTTCTTTCCTACATGGAAATGCAATACACTCCAAGAAAGCTGTCTTATTTAAGCTGGCCCTGTAGTCCTATACGGTTCAGTTAGCCTGATTTCAGCATGAATGCAGTTATAGTGGCTTCCATAAGTTTTGGAACTGGCTTCTAAACAGGAGCCCTCAAACCATCTCACTGAGCCAGAGCATAAGCTGATTGAGATGCTCTGTCTGGAATCCTTTAAAAAAGAAAGAAAACCTTAAACGAGAGAGGCCTCATTATCTCAAGCTGTGCATGAGAAGGTAAGCACGTATCTGGTCTTTGCTACTTCAGAATGTAGATGCTGGCTCACATGGCTAATTGTGGCTGCAAAGCATCTACCTACATGCTAATCAGGGTTTTCTCGCTAACCAGTTTTTATGTGCTGGGGTTTTGTTTGTTTGTGAGTAGGAGAATTTAGTCATATATTCCAGCATTAGCAAGCTGAAGTGGTGCAGTCTGGGCAGGGATTTTACCATCTTGTGTGAGAGCTAGGTCTAAACCTCAAAGCAAAATCCATAGACATAATGAACCCTAAAGACCCATCAGGCTAATTTTTGCAAACTGCAACCTAAATCATTGCAGTTTACAGATCTATATCTTGGAGTTGTTGCACTGTATTCAGCATGATGGATCACAAGTTATACAGGCTTGTTTTTGTAGCGTTTTTTTTAAAAAAAAATCTTTGTTTGGGAAAATCGTAGGCAGCATGCTTCCAGCTTTAAGAGGGCTCACCGTAAACAAAGTTGGAGAAACTCTACACTAGAATGTATCATAAAGTCCCACCCTATCATTTGGGACTTCATGATTTCACAGAGCGCTTTTATTTTATTTAGAATCACACTACCCACAGAGTAAAAAAATTAACAAACCAAAGGCGTAATCCTCTATTGTGAAATCCATTGTTGATCTGAAGGGGATCTGCAGACTTCAATAGTACTGTGCTCTTGAACAACTCCCATTCATTTTAATGGGAGTCCCATGAGATAATTCCCTGGTTGACTGTGCTAGCTCTATGCTTCTGAGTTTAAAACCAGGGCAGAGAAGGCTTCCAGTTATGTGAATACACTGTACATGCTATCAGTCTCCCTACCCTGCCTTTAAAATAACAAAATGCATCCAGTGTTAGTTCTGCTCAGAGTAGACCCATAGAAAGTAGTGACTATGACTATGTTGCATTCAGTTCAAATGGGTCTACTCCAAGTTACTTGGATATAGCCCAGCATATATACATAAATTTCCCTCCCCAAGCCAAAAGAACAGATGTAATCGAAAGCGTCACAGACCTATATGTCTTGTGTGTGCATGGAAATTTGCCGTTATGGGTAAAGGGCATTGTCCTATTTACAGAAGTAAGCCAGGAAGCTTCTGTGCTGAATTGCATCTTTTTGTGGGAATAGTACAGTGGGCGCAATTCAGCAAACATCAGTCACAACCAAACCCTATTGAAAGGGATGTGATGGGACTTTTCTCATGTCTAACTTGAGTTCCATTTTGAATCGGATTGACTCATACCTCAGTTTGGCTGGGCTGTTGTGGCCATTAAGAAAACCAAAACGTATATTCATGTTAAGTAACCTCAAATTTGCAGAGTTAAACATTTTTAACAACTGTTTATTCAGGTTTAATTTAAAATATTTTGAGGTCCTTGTTGGCATGTGTGTGTGTGTGTGTGTGTGTGTGAGAGAGAGAGAGAGAGAGAGAGAGAGAGAGAGAGTTCATCCAAAGTTATGCATTTACTGTCCTATTCATTGTGAAGGGGTTAAAACTAGTGATTGTAGTTAAGTAAATAATAATAATAATAATAATAATATTCTGCCTATCTGACTTGGTTGCCCCAGCCAATCTTGGCGGCTTCCAACGATTTATAAAACCACAGTAAAACATCAGACATTAAAAACTTCCCAATACAGAGCTGCCTTCAGATGTCTTCTAAAAATCAGTTGTTTATCTCCTTGACATTTGATAACGAGAAGGCCCTCTCTGCCCGGTTCCATGTAACCTCACTTCTCGCAATGAGGGAACTGCCAGAAGGCCCTCAGAGCTGGATCTCAGTGTCTGGGCTGAACAATGGGGGGTGGATACGCTCCTTCAGGTATACAGGGCAAAAGAAGTTTAGGGCTTTAAAGGTCAGCACCAGCACTTTGAATTGTGCTTGGAAACGTTTCCATTGAATTCATTGGGATTAAATGTCCTTCTCTTTAGATGGAACAGATGCCTGGTATTAAGGACTGCTTATGCTAGATTGAACCACGTGGTCCAACACTCTTTTCCCAACAGAGCCAAGCAAGTATTTCTGGGAAGCTTCCAAACAGAGCAAGATGGCAATATTACACACACACACCCCACCTCCAATGTCTCTGCTACATTAAGCACATTATAGTGGAACACCAAACATGAACATTTCTGTGGTAAGCATCTTTCAGTGCAGAAAAAGGCACCACACCTCACAATCCAGCTGAAAGCTCAACACTTTTAAGTCCCATTGATTTGCACATGGAAGTTAAGCACATGCATATATCGCTCATGGTTGGGACTTAAAAAAAAAAAGTTTGCACCTATCCTTTAAATAGGGAAATAAAGCAGGTTTTCTGATCAACTGTACTGTGAAAAACTTAGGCACAAACTTAAATTTTTAAAAATGGCCATATATAAGCAAAGGGAGTTTAATTTTATTTGTATAGATGCTTTAGGTGGCTGTTTTGGAGTTTGAAATTGTCTTAAAACTCCAGTTGTTCCAAAGATCAGTGCTCAGGGGTGGGGAATGGGAAGTCACAAGAGCTGTGTGTTACACTCAAGTATTAAACTTGTTAAATTAAAGTTTAACTTAAATTCTTTTTTTTTTTTTTAAGAAATCATTGGATCCAGGACTCTCACCCATCTCCCTTACGCTTGAGGCATTACACATAACTGAAGGAGCTTGTTTTAATGACAGGAGAAAAGTGAAGGAAAAATAGTCCAGTCCTGCCAAAATCACTGGGAACATGCCAACCAGTTTATTGGGGGAAAGCGAGAGAGTTGAATAGCATCTATATGCAATCATTAATGGGAAAATGTATGAGTTCCAGTTCAGCAAGGGAGATTGCCGTTGTTGCTGATGTACATCTGAGTGCCATTGATTTAATGAATGCATCTGTTGGGAGGCTCATGCATGGCCATCTGGGACTATTAATTGCATTCATCAGTATGAGGCCACTGGTTTTTCTAGTATAACCAACATGATTCCAAAAAATAAAGAAACACAAATAACTGTGGCACCTTAAAGCGTAGCAAGCTTATTGCAAAGTGAGTTTATTTCATAGACTTCCTCAAATGCAAGAAGTGCATTGCAGACATATGTTGCAGTGAATGGCCACACTGGTGTTGAAAAAAGAAAAAAAAGTTTGTGGTCCACTAAGACTAAGCACGCATACAATTTTAGAAATAAAAAAAATCAGGCAGGCAAATTAGATGAATGAACCTTTTTTTATTATTATTTCATCTTAAGGCACACAAATGTTCCAGGTGATTAATGTTTGTGGTGTAGTAGGTGTATTTAATAATTTCTCAATGAGAAATTTATGACTACAAAGAAAGAAGATTGCAAAGTATCACTAAGGCTTCAGTTAGTCATTTCTGGCAGCTTTTGAAAATCACCACTATTCATTAAGCAATAATGTTAGAGGGTATGTGAAAAAGCTTGCTGTGATTAGACTGAAAATAGGATAGGATGATGTCCTTCTGGCGTGCATGAAGTAGAGAGGGAATGAAATATTCCTATAAGATGGGGGCAAACACCCAAAAAACCTCAAGCCTAAGCATGTCTGTGTGGAAGTAAATCCTATGGATGTTAATGGATCCTTGCTCCAAATCAATGTGCTACGGACTGCAGTTTGGGGCTGCAATCCTATACACACTGATCTGAGAGTAAGCCCAACAGAAAACAAGGGGACTTCTGAGCAGGCATGCATAGGATTGTACTGTTAATGTTATTGTCTAGGACTGATTCACACAACCATGTTTTCTTATGGCATCAGTATAGTAGCATGGAACTCTTCTGATGATAAAAGAGCTACCTGGAATCTCCATGCCTTCGCCAGTTGTGTGAACACACCTTTAAAAACCTGTGAAGATATTGAGCCTTCGTAGTTTTTAGACAGCTTGGTGAGATTTTTAAGTCTACCATATTAAAGGCTTCACTAACCACATAATCTAACTCTAATTATTAGGGCTTTCGTGTAATTAAGAGAAATCTTGGCTGATATAATTGTATGAGTTTTACTCACAGTGGCATACATTTGCATATGTAGAGAATAAGAATTCTAAAGAAGAAAAGTACTTCCTTTAGTTAGATTACACGTGTGTGTGAACTGCAAAGAGGATCTGGGTGTCTCCAGACTGTCACATATTTAAGCACATACCACAAGTTTAGAGCTGCACAATTAAAGTTGACTAAAGCACTTTGTTGCCCTAGTGCAACTACACCACTTTTAAAAAGAATTAGGCCTTTTTGTAGTTTGGAAAGTGAAGGGGAAACGTATTTTGAAGTGTGGGAGGCACAAATGATTAACGGGAAGATGTATAAACAGCCCACAGGCAAATTGGGATGACTCCAGGACAAATGCTCATTAGTCATATAAAGGGTAAAGGTAAAAGGCCCCCTGACCGTTAGGTCCAGCCGCAGACGACTCTGGGGTTTCGGCGCTCATCTCGCTTTTCTGGCCGAGGGAGCCGGCGTACAGCTTCCAGGTCACGTGGCCAGCATGACTAAGCCGCTTCTGGTGAACCAGAGCAGCACACGGAAATGCCGTTTACCTTCCCGCCAGAGTGGTACTTGTTTATCTACTTGCACTGTGTGCTTTTGAACTGCTAGGTTGGCAGGAGCAGGGACCGAGCAACAGGAGCTCACCCCGTCGTAGGGATTCGAACCGCCAACCTTCTGATCGGCAAGCCCTAGGCTCTGTGGTTTAACCCACAGCGCCACCCGCATCCCTGTCATTAGTCATATACCTCCCCCATAAAGAAATGGAAACAAATGCTCAATAAAGATTGCATATAATTGTCACTTCTGCTGAAGCTTTGTGCAAGCAAATGGGGATGAATACTCAACAAATAGGTTGTCTGGAAGAGCCCAGGGGCAAGCTAGATGTGAATACCATTCATACAATTAGCAATTGCTTGAATGGCATTTTGAAAGTTAACTGAAGGTATTTAGGGGCCTGATACAATATGGGACCCTGACATGGGGTAGGGGACTTTGCCACCACTACCCCTCCCAGGAGTCCCAGCCTGGAATAGTGCCTTTCTCCCATTGCCAACCAACAGGTGCAAGGGGCTGGGTGGATTGGGACTGCAGTGGGGGGGAGTGTTTAAAACTTCCTGTCCCTACAGGCCATGGTCCTGTTCAGCCCCCATCCCTGACACCTGTAATATACTTTGAAAAAGCCATTTGCACAATTGCTAATTGTATAACTTGTGCCATATCTAGTTTTGCCCTTAGTATAGTCAGTCTTTGAGTGTGTATGGGGTCAGTGGGGGAAGAGGGAAACAGAGAATGAATGAATGTGAATATGACTCCTCTAACATGGTGCCATCTTCTAATTGGGAGTAACTGCTGACAGGCAGTGAAAAGATCCAATCAAAATTAGACAGCATGGAGTGGTGCTAATAAATACATTAAAAAGCCAATATTTTAGGAACAATAAAAATTTTTAAAGCATAGCATTATCCTACAAAAACACTTAATTGTTCAGTGAAAAACCACATCTTCCCAAGGCTATTTTTCCTTTCGTAAAAAACCTCATCAGGGCATTGTTGTATATAAAGGTAAAGGGACCCCTGACCATTAGGTCCAGTCGTGACCGACTCTGGGATTGCAGTGCTCATCTCGCTTTATTGGCCAAGGGAGCCGGTGTACAGTTTCTGGGTCATGTGGCCAGCATGACTAAGCCACTTCTGGCGAACCAGAGCAGCGCACGGAAACGCCGTTTACCTTCCTGCCGGAGCAGTACTTATTTATCTACTTGCACTTTGACATGCTTTTGAACTGCTAGGTTGGGCAGGAGCAGGGACCGAGGAACGGGAGCTCACCCCATCGCGGGGATTCGAACCGCCAACCTTCTGATCAGCAAGTCCTAGCTCTGTGGTTTAACCCACAGCGCCACCCGTGTCCCAACATTGTTGTATATATCTGCATATAATGTGTAGTTCGGCTTCTGGAGCTAGATTTCTTAAAGCAAATAGCTAAAGAGACAGCCAACAATACTACCTATATTAATCTTTACCTAGTTTTTAAGACTGGCAAACCTCCATAATCTTTTGCAAAATCCTTTCATGTAGAAGCAGAGCATTACATGTGGAGGAATCGACGTAGCGTAGAATTCTTGGTGTGAGCATGTTTCTTGACTGTGTGAACAAGACTGAGCTTGAGAGTTGTGAGGAGACCCCATTTCCCACAATGCATTGGTGGAGGGCTTGGGGGTAAAATGGAGGAAGATGGGCCCCTTCTGGTATTGTAGACAGACTAGGAATGACAAAGTGTGGGAAGATGAGGCAGGTGACTGTTCAGATCCCTTCATTTCACATGCTCCCTTCAGCATAAAAAATAATCACTCCACAAACAAGACACATAAATTAAAAACATGGTTGAATTGATAACACATCTGGATTAAGAGGTATTGGATATGGTGAAATATGTGGTAATTAGGTCATTCTGTGCCATTTCGAACCTTGAGTTCTGAAATTTGATTTTTTTTGGGGGGGGGGTGACGATTTATCTTTAGTTCTGATCCCCAATACTGATCTGTTCACATCAGTAGGTCTGCAAGCAAGAGATGTTGAGACTAAGGACTGCAAAAGTAACTCAGGCTTGCGGCTTCGTAGACTTAATAAAAGTTCATACAGCCTCTCTTTCATGGGCTATGAAACCTGAACTTTACTATTGATGCTTTCATGTATTTTGTTAATGGTTGTCATATTCTGGAAGGTTACTTATTATGCATGCCTAATATTCTTCCCATTGTCTATTTATATACACCAGACAAAAATCAGAGCAGTACTGGAGCCTGTTATAAAATCATGCTGGAGAAAAATCTGATCAGTGCAACATGACCAAGACTTGCTCCTGTCATAGTAAAAGCATGAAATCGGGCCCAAATGCATGTGTTTTTTTAAAGCAGATGAAAGCAGACCATAGGATCAATTCAAATTCATCATTGTTTGACAATGGTGGCTGTTTTCCAAAATGGCCATTTGAGTAATGGGTGGATATCAAATATTTGAAATTGGCAAAACGAATGAAGTAAACATCCCTAATGCAGACTTAAACAGTTGTAAAATCTGATGTGGAAGAACACACTTTTTCTTGTATTCCCACGGTTTCATGAGTGGACTACATACCATAACTTTACTATTTTCATTGAAATGTGCATGAACACACATGTATGCAATGTAATTCGTTCTTCCAGCAGGGACAGACTGTTTTATATCCACAGTGGTTAAGCCCATGGCATGAATCCTGAACCTGCGGGAAACGGATCCCAATGTAGTTGCCATCCTATGTTACACTGATTCTTGCCTCCTTCCTAATGGAGATGGAAATATGTTTGTCCCCCAGTGATTGCCCACACACATACACATGGGATTCATGGGGTGTAGCTGCAAGGCTTCCACTCAACTGATCTACTTGGTGAAAACACATCTCTTTCTTCATTCACTGATGTCCAATCAGTGCTGTGCTCATACCCAAGTACAGCATGCATTTCAATATTGCCTAAACAACCGACTGAACTATTTAAAAATGTCAGAAAGCTGTCCCATGCTGTAGCAATGGAAGAATGGAAGAATGGCAAATGTTATTAGCATGTGTGGTGTCCGCAACAATTTCCGTGGTTTGCAAATATGCCTGTGGGCTAAGGCAAACCATGGCTTAGCTCGTAGCAGCAGGAGAACCAAGGTAGGAGTGTGAAAACTGATCTCTCCAGTCATCCACAGGCCCATGCCTTTACACTAAATCATGGCTTGGCATTCCCTGCAAGTCACTGTGTAGCGCTACCCTCAGAAGTCCCCTACCATCACAAAGTAAAACAACTGGTCTTTGAAAGTTCGCATTTTTGTCACCACTGAACATTTTTCATTTATATTCGAATAATGCTTCAAATGCCATAGCATCGGCACCATTTTAGGGAAGACACTACACTTCCTTGCCCCTTTGTA